GGTGGGATCCATTTTGGGGCTTTCTTGGCCCTCGGAGAGATTGTTTTGGCTCGGAGTCCCGTGCCCTGTGTGCCTCTGAGGGCTTCAGTTTGGTTAAATTAAACAGTTTTCTTTTCTCCGCCAGTCCCAGCTACCTACCCCCCCCACCCTCCACTTTCCCAACTGCTCCTCTCTTATTTTGCGGCTTAATGCTCCACGGCTCCCGGGCGATACCCCTTCTCAGATAATTTGACCCTTTTAAGGCTCATATTTTCTCATATTTCGATGAACTCACAAGAGCCAGCACCATGTCTGCAACCCCCCCCTCCCTTCCTGCTCCTTTAAGCTGAGGTGGAGAAAAAGTATACAGAGAAGTTGAGTGTTTACAGGGGCTATAAATACAGTATTTTAAGATATAGCATATGTGTACCAGGCAGCGATACGAAGGTTAGAGTGGATAATTTGATTGGCTAAGGCTATTTGACGGTGCCAAATCGATGTGATCAGATCTTGGGGATAGCGAGGCGATGACGGCAAACGGGGCACTCTGAAACCACAGGTTTACAAGGTTGGATAAGATCCGGGGAGCGAGGAGGGGAGGGGGGAAAGGTCTCAGCCTCCTCGACTCGTCCTTCTCCTCCTCTTTCTCTTAAGCAAGAGAGGTAATATACATCCTGATGCTGATTTGGCATTATGTTTCATCAATACTAAGATCCTGTTGGAGAGTATTGTGTGTGTGTTTGCTTGACCACACTGAAAGGCCTGTGAGCAGAGGGATCACTGTTAATGGACGCTGAATTGGAGACGCCTCGGGGTTGACAAGCTCGATTAACGTAGCCTCAAAAGTGCATGTGGAATCGGGGAGGGGAAGCCCCGACAGGGTCATGTGCTCGGAGTACTGCAAGTCTTTGTGTGTTTGTGAGCTTCGAGGGTGACTGGGTGGCTGCCCTCTGTCTTGGCACAAGTTTGCCACCTAAACACCCTCTTCACCCCACGTGTCCACCCCGTGGACCTTCATCACCTGCCTCTTCAATTTGCATTACATTATATTTTAGAGTGTTAGGCATGTGGGTGCTTCGTGCGGCAGAAGAATTGTGAGAAATGGTTATATTAAAACTGTATAATTCTCCAATTGGTGACTTCAAAATGTAAGCGTGTCAGAAAAATCTAATCTAATCTATCGCCAGAATAAGTTGCATTCACCCAAAAGCCACAGTAAAAGTTACTTCTATAAGGCGCTTCTATGTAAAATGTAAATGTGTGGTGGGGGCCATCTTTTGCATATAAGGTTTTTGTGATTTCTGCCTTCCAATAACCATAGATTTAAAAGCAGCAAGTTAGTTTTTTATTGATTCTCACCCAACTTTATGTCCACATGCGTCCAAAAGTTTATTTCCATTGAAACAGGGAATGGTGTTCTTGTGATGAGGATTGCTCCAAACAGTTTCTGTTCACTTATAAAAGTGTCTTATCTGTCATGAGTGCAGGTATCTTCTTAAAAAAGATGTGAGAAAACATCATATATCCGATATAACTTAAGTGGACAATAAATGGTTTAACCATGAATAAACATTACCATACAATAAGTATTTTAATTTGTATTATACACATTTTTTCACATCTTATTTTGACCTTTGAATCATTCACAGTAAACCGATGAATGTATGTTTTCATGAACAAGGCACAAACACAGCTGATGGTTGATTTCTTGCTTTTGACTAAGAACAGCGGCGATGAGAGAAAAACAGAAAACCAAGAACGAGATGTTATTCACTCAGAGTGAGCAAAGGAGGAGAATCATCGTGAGGGTCGGTCTTCCTTTTAGCTCAGCTGGTGTTCGCAGCGTTGAGAAAGGCCCACAAACAAGTGGATGAGCTGCGCTTCCGCCAACAACATCAACAACAACAAAAACCAACACAGATGCCCAGACGGACTATCCCCACGGGGACATTTACATCGGCAACAACGGCCCCTGTTGGCCCTCTCCGCTGCCCTTCTCACCCCCTCAGGTGCTCCTGGTTCCCTCTGGAGGAAGGGGGTGGGTTTTTGGGGCGGGGGGGGGTTATAAATGCCCCCGGCTGTGCACCCCTCCACCCCCCCCCCCCCCGCCCCCCTTTCCCGAGCTCCTTTACGCCCCCCCCCACCCCCACCCTTCAGCTCCCCCGTGGGGCAGGTGACAGCCCTCCACTGTGAAGGGCCGAAGGGAGCCATGACGGATTCCACAGATGGAGCGTGGAAATCGCGGGCAAAGACCTCGGCTCTGTGGAGCAACAAAGAGCCCCCGAGAGTCACAGAGAGAAATATGGGTGAAAAAAGGGGAGAGAGAGAGAGATGGGGAGACAAAGAGAGAGAGAGAGAGAGAGGGTGAGAAGGAGGGAGGAACGAGAGAGGGAGGAGAAGGTGGTGCTTGTTTAAGGAGGGTGTCGTGCGGAAAAAGTTTGTGTTGGCGAATCAGGAGTTTGCTGTTGTTTTGAAGTGAAAAATGAAGTGTGGCTTTATTTGTTCATACATGCTGATAGACATTTCTATCAGCCAGTGTTCTACCCGTCAGCCTGTGCGTTTCCCCTCTTGCTATCATAATCATCTTTATCATTTCGCCCCCATTGTCTGTATCTTAACATCAAGCGATGTAGCGATCTGACAAAGCAGGGTAAAACCAACGAGCCCGCCTTAGCCCTCCGTCAATGATCTGACTCGGGATCGTATCACGACGAGACTCCCGAGGCTCCAGAGGTGCCACTCTGTCGCTTCTTTTGAAAAGCTCTGGAAACCCCGGTAGCAGTCATAACCGATAGGTAATTCCAAAGTGATTAAGGATTTTCCCCCGGCCGCCTCAGCTTTCCCAGGACCCAAATCCCTGTGAAATGCCGAGGAACGTTGCATGCTGCTCTAGTTCGGGGAGGGGAAGGGGAGCGAGGAAGCATTCCTAGCCGCCCTCCTCCGTGCAGGAACTGGAGGGGGAGGCTGCAAAAAAAGAAAAAAAAAGGCCTCATCTCTTGTTTTTCAGCCGTGCCGTCCAAGAACTCCAAAGCTATCTGAAGCTAGCTGAATTCCTTCCCCCGCCATCGAAAACACGAGTCCTGTACTGGCACAGTCACATTAATCCTCGCATTTTTTTTAGTTTGGTTGTGAGCAACGTGGGCCTGCGAAACTAGAAAGCTTTTTTCTCGCTGCACTGCTGTGAAGTTCCAAAACAGCTGATGAAACTGAGTCTTAATCCACGGTGGCCATTTTGAAATATCTTAAAGTGTTAAACTCACACACACCGGTTGATAAAGAGCTAGAAATCGACGAGTGCAAAACTGTGAGATACTCAGCAGAGGCTTACGGCAATGTCTCCACCCCCCCCACCTTTGAAAATATTTTACTTATTGCCTCCCTCATGCTTGAATGTTTCTTTACCAATTTGGCCCTAATGCATGTTAAGTTGACTCCCACTGCTATTGGTGTTGTAAGGAGAAAACCGCCGAAGGGGGAGAGAGGATCAGTTTCACATGAGGGGCCCTGAGATATTTGGATTCTCTTGTATTTTATTGTTGCATCTGAGGGGGAACTAATACAGTGTTGGTGCACAAAACTTCCCCTACGCTGAGGGGGAATTAATTAAGTGTAACACAAAAAAACAAAACAAAGTGGGTGCTTTGGCCTTGGTGGACTTTAGACGGGAGCCAGCGGAGTGTTTGAAGTAGTGAGCGGAGAACCGAGCCGATGGAACGCAGCTCACTACAGTGTTGATGCAGATCTGAGGCTGAGATTAAGAGGAGGAACACAAAAGCTGTCACATAAGATCACTGCAGCTCAGTCAGGCCCACGACCACGAGTCAAAAATACAACTTATGTATATTTGTAGGCAATGGTTAGGCAACATTTTTAGTTATACTTTGTTTTGTTTTTTTATCAAGCAAAACAGCCAAATATTCGATGTGAGGACGTTTTTCTTAGTTTCATATGATTAGAAATCTAATAACTTCTGGTTTGGACAATTCTTTTTGGGCCATTTTCCATTTTTTTCCTGACATTTAGACGACAAAAACAATTCTTCAAAAATGAATCGGGAATGAAACTAGTTGAAAACACTTATTTTGTGTGTGACATTAGGGGAGTCAAAAATATTATTAGCTTGACATTAGACTCTAGTTGTATAATAAGTATAATTAGTCGTGTTCTAGTTAAGACTTGAATTATGAAATATCTTTCTTTATCACTGTAAATTGGTAAAGAACTCTTTTTTCTCACCAAACTGTTTATGCCCCATTTAGACTCTGGACTTGACGACTTCTATCTTGAGACTTGAGACTGACCCACTATGAGGTCTGATTATCACTTCCAGAATATAGCTGCCACAGAAGTACTGAAGACTGAATACTGGTGACGAGACAGAGCAAAAGAAAGAGATTTGAAAAACTGATTCCCATCTACTCGGTTTTTAGAAAAGCAGACCAGCATTCACCTGACTGAACAGTTTGTCCTTCATCCAGGCAGCCGCTGCTACTGTCCACACACACACACACACACACACACACACACACACACACACACACACGCTCAAAGAATGGCCCCTGGATCCAAATTAGCCTTTTGTGTGGCTTTTAGTCCCCCTGTGGTGCCCTGGGAATCTCGTCCACTGGGATTATTCCTCAGGCTCAGAATATTCCTTCTGAATGGAGGTCTGTTTGGCCACAAGACCACGAGGAGGACCGATATGCCTTATGGTGCATGTTTGTGTGTGTGTGTGTGTGTGTGTAAAGAAAGGAAATAACCCATCAAGTGAAAACTATAAGTAAACAAAGCAGAGAGCAAATTAGTTGACATTTTGTGAATGTTGCAGCCCTTCTTATCACAATAATCCACCTCCAGCACCATGAGGCGTCTTTATAACACCAGCATGTTTGCTCTTCAAACGTTAAAAGTTCACTTCAGGATTTAAAGAGTGAAGCTGTAAATCTGTGTGTGTGTGTATGTGTTGATCAGGAAAGAAACTCCTGTTTTCTTATTTTTCCTTCTCCTTTTGTTTTGGGCAGCGAGTCACTCCGACGAGGGTACGGACGTGGAGTCGGAGCCTGATCTGCCACTTAAGAGGAAGCAGCGGCGCAGTCGGACCACCTTCACGGCGGAGCAGCTGGAGGAGCTGGAGAGGGCCTTCGAGAGGACCCACTACCCCGACATCTACACCAGGGAGGAGCTCGCCCAGAGGGCCAAACTCACCGAGGCCAGGGTCCAGGTACGTGGATGACACATCAATACCACGCGCACTTACATTTAAGAACTGCAGAGAGTTAAAAGCAGATTTTAGCTCGTGAAACACAGGAATTCCTACGATGGTTTTGTGAAAAAGGGTTTTATAAGCTCGAGGGTTGTGAGTTCGACCTCAGCTTCACGAGGAACCATGAAATCCTTCAACAGGAGTTCAAACATGAACGTGTTTACAAGACGGCAGCAACACTCTCACTTCTGGCTGACCTGACACACCAGCGTGCACTTAATGACCCATCACGAACATCCCTCACACACACACACACCCACACACACACACACCTCGTGGTTTTATACACACTCTGACCGTTTAAAGGCAACCTGCTGATCTGTTTGTGCCACACAACAGCATAGAAACACACTCACACACACACACGCACGCGCACACACACACACACACACACACTGTCTGATTGAACGTCTTCATCGTCGTCCCTCTAGGTTTGGTTCAGCAACAGGCGGGCGAGGTGGAGGAAGCAAGCGGGAGCCAGTCAGCTGATGGCGTTTAATCACCTGATCCCAGGAGGGTTCCCACCTTCAGCCATGTCCAGCATCGGCTACCAGCTCTCTGACAGCCCCTACCCCCCCTCATCGATAGCACAAGGTAAGAGACGGGACTCGCTCCGGGAATGATGCGGTTCAGACTATTCATTCTAATAATAAACTATATGTGAGGGGAGGGGGAATGAGAGAAATCATCTAGTTTTCCAAAATCTATTAGAGAGACATGTCATCATTTATTTAAGATAAAAAAAAATCAGTTGTATTTACAAAATACAAAACTTTTCTGATGGCTTTTATTTTGAGGCGCTTTTTTGAAATCCATAATTTTATATTTAAAAAGTATATTTTGACAGAATTATTGCTCTTTACTGGCTAACTATTCTTTATTCTTTTAAACAATTCATTTTTGAATTGTTTAATTTAAATAACCTACATGAGAAATCAATTTTATATATATTAAAAAAAACAAAAACACTTCTGGACATTTACTCTTCATACATTTTGAACAGACATGTTTTTAAATGTAAGTTTATTTAGAATCCAGCAGTTTTGCTTCGACTTAAGTGAAAATTAAACACAGGAACAACAACTCTGCTAAAGTGGGACAACTTAGCAGTTATGTTTTGCAACTTTTTAACTGACGGTGCTCACAAGTGTTTGAACTTTTCTCCGCGATGCCTCCCGTAGTGTCGGAGCCCCCCAGCACGTTGCATCGGCCCCAGCCCCTCCCTCCCTCCTCGGGCCACCAGGCCGGCGGTGGCGGAGGGCAGGTGGAAGGAGGCTCTGCCTACTGCCTCGCCTCCGGACGCCACTCCTTCTCAGGCTACTCGGACAGCTTTGTGAGCGCCGGAGGACCAGCCAACCCCATGAACCCCGCCCTAGGAAACGGACTCTCCCCACAGGTGAGACCACAGTTTTGAGCTGCTTAAAGTCCGGCATTGAGTCTTGTATTTAATAGATTAATATAATTAAACTCAGCTTTGTAAAGGAAATCTGTTGAGACAAATTGATTTGATTCCATATAAATACTAATAATCTTTAACACAAGCACAACTTTGTGTTTTTGTGCAGTGTATTAGTTTGACAGGAGTAAGACGTGTGTGTTTGACTCATGCCTCTAGAGACTGAGATAGTTTTACTTGCACGGATATCACACCCGAGCTTCAAATTAGATTTGAACATGATTTTCAAAGAGCACGATCTCCCCTCAGACACACAGCCACACACTAAACATCGAGAGCTTTAAAAAGTTAAACACTCTTCTCAGGTAATATTTCGCCCACGTGTCAAAGACGCTGACTGATTCATCCCCTCGCCTTATGAACTATACGCTCTACAATCGCCCCTCGGCTGTACTGGAGGATCACCGTCTGAAGGGGGAGGGGGGGGGGGTAAGATGACTCCAGAAGGACAGAGGACAATTGAGTGTGTGACAAATGAGAAGTGAAAAGACAATTACAGCCAATTATCCAGGCATGAAGTCCCAAGGTCTCCGCACCTAGACAGAGGGTACAGCAGAGGAGACGGAGGAGTCAGAGACCCTAACAGGCAGAAAATGAGATTTCAGCCCCGGCTCGGTCCGACTCCTCAAGAGAACGGGCCGCCGCCGCCGCGTGAGGACGGAGGCGAGCTAGCTCGCACGAACACCCTCACGGGTCCTCATAATTTCAGGGACACACACGTACGCACTGTAGATAATCGATCAACTCCGTGACGTTTCGAGGATCAGTTAAGGATTTTGCTACATCTTTTACTCAAATAGTACACGACATGGTTGAGCAGCACGGCTAAGTCAGCTCCTCAACCTTCTCTTTAGATTGAGAGATTGATTGCTGTATTTTTTTAATTGTTATTTCCAATACAGAAGCAACAAGCACTTTTTTATTTACAAATAAGTTCACACTATTTTTAGATTTTTGGCCATTTTCTTGTATGTGTTTGGGACAATAAGTGTGTCGTGACAGGAAGTCCTTCCTCTTAAACAATACTTTTTGCAGAGTTGGTCCTCATGTTTACACACTGAACAAGCTTTCAAACATGCAGGGATACTCTGCTGCATGCACATAACAGGAACTAACCACGTTGTGTACGTAGGCGGCTAGACGCGGCCTCCTCGCCGTCTCGTATACGTGCATAAACGTGGCTCCACGCCGTGCCGTGCAGCCCCGAGGGAAGCGTCTCGTGATTGCATTCTCAAAATGTTTGCCTCGACATTCCTCCACCAGAAAGCTCTAAAGTTCTAATTTATCTGTATATATTTCGTACAGAGGGGGAAGGAATGTCTTGTCTCAAGATGTTTTGCCCCAACCGTCCCGACATTCTTCCCATGCTAAGTCCTGGACGCACTGATTCAGGGCCGCTGGCGACGGCAAGAGGTCCAATATGAAAGACTCTGGATGGGCCGGCCAGCAGGCATGTCATGAGGCAGGGAGAGAGGCTCGGGAGAGAGAGGGACGATGGGTATCGGGTAAAGAGCATGCCTCCCTTCTCCATGTGGCTTATTTCAGCCAAAGCGTGTCCTCGCTCTCTCTCTGTTTGAACCAAACCCTCCAAACGCAGGTTCATTTCTTTGGGAAAACGTTACCCGGCCCGAGAGGAAACACAAACTCCCCTCTCCAAATCAACATGGACTCCTCCATTCACCTCCCCTACTTGGGAAATGATTTAAGCAGGACCATATGTACGTGTGGATGTGGAATAATATGTCACTTAGAGGACCCAAAGAGCAGCGTACCTGCTTCTTATTAGGACAACTGGAGGAGCCTTGAGGCCTTCGCTCTGTTGAGAAAGGAGGCGGGACACGATGCATTTAGAGGTAGCAGATTCAGTTAAGAGTTACTTTCATAAGTAATAAAGCCGGCCTTGATTTCTTATTAACGGTTTGCTGAGGACTTTCAATGTGGACAGGTAAAGTCAGAGAGCATTGAAGAGGGGGGGGGCGGAGGTCGGCGGTAAGTCTGTTTTTGAAAACCAGTTGAAACACTTCCCCCCCGGGCTCTTTTCCGTCCTTTGCTGGCCAACGAATATTCCCCCAAATTTGATTATCTGGTCGCTAATAAAGACCAGGTCAAGAGCTAACGGATTTCTAGAACTGCTAAAATCTACTCGGAGGTTGAACGGAGCCCGAGCTCACGCAGACCTTTCTCCTTTGTGTTATCTTTGCCGGCATATCTCTCCCCGAGATAAGTTGTTATCTTGTGCCACGGGTTTTTCTTTTGGAGCGGTGTCAAAAGGGAATTTTAGAGTAAGTGGAACCGCGGATCTGAGACAAATTGCTTAATTCTTCCTCTCTGGTGCTATCTCTGTCTGGAAACGGGCTCTTTTGATGTCCGCGACGGGGGGATTTCCTATGTGTGCTTGTCTCGACGTCTGTGTTGATACATATTGCCCCCTCCCAGTGCTTGTAGACGAAAAATGAGAGATATTTAATATGTTGTAAGGCCTTGTCCGAAACTAAAAACACAACAGAGAACATCCCCCTTTTCTTTGCCGGCTAGGTTTTGGGTCGGGGCCGATCACTGATTAAAAACAAAAGAAATCCACATAATTCCATCGATAAAGTCTACATGAGCAAACATAGAGAAGGGGACAAATCCGTTGTGTTCTGCTCATGTTCAACTCAAGTTAACCGTATTAGTCTGACGAACATTCGAGCCGCTCACAGCTTAACTCTCTCCTTCATTCTTTCTCTGTCTCCCTCCCGTCAGGTGATGGGTCTGCTGAACCCGGGCGGCGTGCCGCACCAGCCCCAAAGCGACTACGCCATCTCCCCGCTGACGGGCGGCCTGGAGCCCCCCGCCGGCATGGCCACCAGCTGCAGCCAGCGCATGGACCACATCAAGGGCCTGGAGGGCCTCACCAGCGTTCCCTCCATGTCGGCCCTGCCCTCCCTGCCCAGCTCCCAGTCCTACTGCCCCGCCTCCTACAGCTCACCGGCCTACACCGTCGACCACGTGGCGTCCTACCAGTACGGCCAGTACGGACAAAGTAAGGTCAATAGACTCCGCCTTTTTATTCTCACCTTTTGCTTCCACATCCACACCTGCAGGAACCAATTTAAAATGAATACCGTTTACTCATTTACTAAAATAAAAAAACAATCAAGAGCTTTACAGAGCTGTTAATGAAAGAAAATGAGCTTCAGCTATATTGGGTGCAATAAATGTATCGTGCATTGTCCCTATTAAATAAATAAACCATGTTCTGGTTGGTCAAGGTGGAGCAAATTTAATTACAATTTTTGAAAGATTTTTTGTGGGCATTTCAAGCTTTTATTTGATATTGAGAGCGGAGAGAGAGAGAGAGAGAGAGAGAGAGAGAGAGAGAGAGAGAGAGAGAATGTGGGGAAAGCAACAAATGGTTCCGTCCCGACCATTTGCTGCTGCTCAGATAATTTTGCAACCTAACCGATCGGCTGCTGTTTTAACCACCGTGTAAACTCTCGGGTAGTTTAATCTAAAACAATGTGTCATATTTTATTAGCTCATCATATGTTTTGCGTGTACAAATCTTAATTTACAAATAAATGGTAACTGTAGCTCTCGAATAAGTCAAAGTATAGTCAGTAAATACAGCACAAATTTATAAAGTACAATATTTTCCTCCTAAATGTAGCAGAGTAGAAGTATAAAACAGAAATACTCTGGTCAAGCCAAGTAAATTGTACTCACCAAGTAAACCACTGTCAGTTGACCCGATTCTCACTGGCTGCACGTCGTTTATAATCTTCAGGTGATGCTTGACATCAAAGAATGCGACACATTTTCCTGACATGAAAACTTGAATCATATTGAACATTGAAGGGCTGATGAGCTTCATGTATTTCTGTCTGAGATCGGATAAATTACATTTTATTTTGCCCTCATTGGGTTTGTCTGTAGTTTCATAGTTCTTCATGCTAAATGTAGTTTGAACAAGCTAAATGGGAATAAAGCAGTGGAAACACTGACATAGCATGACGGTATAAAGATGACTGGGAGTCAGTGATGATTAGCACGTTTTTTTGTGATGAGTTTTACAAAGCGGTTGTGCGGCTCTCGCAGTTGCTGAAATGTTGGATGTAACTCGTGTTACATATTTTTGGATATCCTTGTTTCAGGGCTTCAAACAACAAAGCCACAGGATTGTTTTTTTTAAATATATGACCGTAAGCAATTGGAAGAGTTTTCCAATTTCAGATGAAAATTTGAACCAAGTCCACCAATACGGTGTATGTTCTGGTATTCAGACACGTAACTTGTAACCGCAAAATTCCTGGCTTTGATTCCAGGGATGGGGAAGAAAAAGAAGCACAACACAGGTTGCTGCAGGTTCTGCTTAAAGGCAGTTGACATTTCTTTGCGGGGTCCAATCATGCAGTCTCGAGTGTTGGGGTTAATTGTGCGGATCTGATTCCATCTATGAAGCGATCAGCCCGGCGCTGATACCGAAATCTGCGGTTAGGCAGGCCGCAGAGTCGGCTCCCATCAGGGTGAGGAGTAGCTCCGGCGGTGACTGCTGGCCCTCCTCGGACTGTTAGGAAAACCTACCTGTCCAGCAGCGAGAGTCATTTCACATTACCGTCACGTGAAGGGTTAAAATCAACTTCAAACAAACTTTGGAGGGCAATGTCGTTCTCCGTCACAGCGTGATTACAGCGGCCGCCGTTTCCAATTTTTGGTCCAAGGGGGGGGGGGGGTTGACCAATCAGGTTCATCCACTGACCTTGCAGCGACCTGGAGAGAAAACCCGGGGCCCTTCAAAGAGAGCGTGGCGGCGGCCCAGCGAGTCTGACTGCATGTAGCTCCGCGTGTATCGAATGAATATCTGACTTAATATCCGAGAGCGGCGAAACGTCTAATGAAATATCTCGGTCGGATATCTCAAACTGAACAGAGTAAAGAATTAGGGCGACACACGTGCCTCTGGCATGTGGCACCGTGCGCGTACACACACACACACACACACACACACACACACACACACACACACACACACACACAAGCTCAAAGGCAGCCACCAGGACAGCACGCGCACACACGTACACCTCCACAGCGTTACAAGCGCCGAGCGGTCCATCTTGATGTGATTAATCAGTGCGACTGGATAGCCGGTGTGCGGTTGGGTTTGGAGCTGCAGAGGAAAGGTCCTTTCTGGGGGTGGACGGATGCTAATAGCCTCTGGCAGGGCAGGCTATTGGAAACAGGTGCTAGGACTGAGGTCAGCTGGGGAAGCAGCGGTGCAGACCGCTGCTCCAGGGTTCCAGTGGAAGCGGCCCGTGCACGACATGTAGCTCTCCACTGGACCGCCTCTCGGAAACTACAGCGGTAATCCACGAAATACTTGTTTTGCTTTTATTTAGGTAACGTCTCTGTTGCTAAGCGGGCCGTGTTTTGTTAGTTTGTTGTTGTTGCACAGCACGTTTTGCAGCGGTTACCTGTCAGTCCTGAATCTTTCCGTTTGGATTTTCTGGCGTTTCTTTACCTGTTCCGGCTCGGTCACGTCTTCCTGGAACGGAGACGATAAGACACGTCACTTCCTGTGCGTCGGAGCTAATATCTGCAACCACAATGCGCGTTAGAGACGTAAAAATAGCGTATTGATCTGTTTGGGGCCTTCTTTATCAGCTCAAAAGACGGTTTCTACTCGCTCATAGCCATGACTTTTTGAAGTGATGACATGTTTACACGTAACTTCTCTTTTGGGTCTCCAGACTCCGGCTGTGAAACATGGTTCAATACAAAACAATAGATCTTCATCTCCTCTGTGTCTGTGATCGGTGTTGACTGGACTTCTCCCTAATCCCATTTAACACCACTATGTAGGATAACTTATCGTTCATGTATTGTCACCTAAACAACAAAAGGCATATTTGTTCATGCATATAACATAAAACATAGCATATTTTAGTTTTTGGTAATTTCCATATTTTGTCACCTTCATCAAAAATGCACATTTTTTGAACAGTTTGAGACAAAATAATGTTGTACCACTTCAAACCTTTTCTATATATTGAGTTTTAATCAATGCATTTAAAATGTATAGAAATATTAGATGATGTCTATTTAATCCGCTGATTCCGGTATTTTTAAATTGTACTTATTTACTACATAGATGCACAGAATAGACATTATTCAGAAACCCATTGCTAGCAGCGTAGAGGAAGCTTTAAATCAGCCTTTAGCCATGTCAGGAAATAACATTTAAGTGAACACTTAACTGAATACATAAACTATAACAAGTCCACATTTACAAAACATTTAGAGACTTTTTCGTTGTCAGGTTAAACATTTCTTGGGGGCGGGACTTGAGTATTATGTAACACTCAACACTAGATGATGCATATGTCCTTTATCATACCCTGGTTATATGATTCTGAGCTTCTGAGTGTGAAAAAAAAGCTTGTCTTTGACCTTACACCCCGAACCACTGTTAGCACATGCTATGCTAACAATAGCCATATGTGAGGGGAATGTCATGCTAAAACATGTGTCCAAAATTTATTGCGGCTATATATCTCTTTTATCATCTCTCTCTATTTTTTGTTGGGAAATCCCTTTTCACTAATAATTTAACAACTGTTTCATCCCTTCTTCTTCTTTTGTTTTACAGATGCCCTTTCTTATCTGAGGCCTGAAATCTCCTGATCGTGAGCTTCGGACTTGGCAGAGGGACATTTTGCTTGTACAGCGAAGGAAATCTTTTACTATCTGGACCAAATTTTATTTTGCTACCATTTACCGGGACACACTCTCTCCTCTGCAGGACATTTTTATTATTAATTCTTGTTGGAGAAATGGACAAAAAAACAAAAAGAAAAAGAAAAAGAAGGGACCACAAGAAGGAATATCAGACCAAAAAACTTTCGACTGACTGTGAAGAAAAACCTGTTGTTGGACTGTGAACGTTGCGTCGGTGTTTTGTAGATGAACGGCAGAGACGTCAGCGCTTACTGAGGTTGGAGCAGCGGAGCTCTGACCGTCTACAGGCTTCTCCAGTGACCAAAACACCATCCGTGGACTCTCTCCTGTGGGGGTCTTTGTGAGGACAGCGAACCCAAATCTCTTTCGTCATAATCTGCCAGCCTTGGAAAATGTTTACATATCTGAGGGCCGCATGAGTACATATGAAATTCCCATGTATCCCCAAGTTGTATCTGCTGAAAGGGGAAAAAGAAAAGGGCTTTGTTGATTTATTTTTTTTTGTTGCATTTATTTGAGATCTCCGCATCCCACGATTGGAGAGATATTCCAGAGACGGAGAAAACAAACGTGAGCAAGAGAATCTGTGCGGTTTTATTGCATTAGAAACTCTTAATGTACACCACAGCTGTACTGCAGCGAAAGTTCATTCAAACATTCCTCCCCCCCCCCACCCCTCTCTCTCTCTCCTCTCGCCTTTCTCCCTCTGTCTCATTGATGTTTCGGACGGTGAGGCAGGAGGGATCTCGGCCCTTTTGTAGTTTTAGAGAGCGACTCGGTGGAGGTCAGGGGGTGACTTCAGGGAAAGTGACAGATGAGAGAGCAGTAGAGGAGGGCGGCAGAGAAGTGGCTTTAGAGGGAGGGGGGAGGGGGGTGATAGGCAGGATCGATCACAGGGGTTAAAAACCCTTTAAAGATCCTCTCCAAGCCACCAGGTCACAAGTCACGACCGAGAGAGTTTTAGACTAAAGACAGCCATTCTGCCAGCTGACCAGAAGTGCAATATCATGTATCTTTAGAGTCGACCTCACCATTAAAACAATAAAAAAAGTCCAACAAAACACTTTGGATTCATTCTCTGGATCTAGTTTGGGACAAAAAGGAACAACACATGTGCCTTTGAAGGCTCTTGGGTCCAAGACAAATATGAAACATTGCTAATCCTGCTGTCATAGCACACCGCGGACCACATTTGTAAGGACTTAAGTCAGTGCGGTGTCACGAGGAAAAGAGCGAAACAAGGGAAATGCCAATGTAAACAGAAAATAACCAGGAACGACAAAGCCAAAACCGTACTTTATCTTTTATTTCTTTATTTCTTTTTTCTGTTTTTTGCATATGATATAATAATAATAATAATAATAATTAGGTTTCATTCCGGACATATTTATTGTCTCAAAATGTTCTGTATCTCGACAGTGTCGTAAAACAAAAAAAAAATCCCCCACAATGTACAAGTGAGTGGCAATACTTTATCCGTCAAACTCCGAGTGCCTTCACCAGCGCTCTTGTTTTGTTCGTCCGTCTGTCTGTTAGAATGAAACAGTCCTTTCATTCCTTTGATATATTTTTTTGTATTATTTGACAAAGCGATATGACATAACGTCACGTGTACAAGCGCATTATCACTACTATTTATAATAAAATAAAAAACTTCTGAAAATAGCTGCCTCTGCTGTCTCATTCTTTTTGTTGTTGTTGTTGTTGTTCATCTGGTGGTTAATTACTAAATAGAGTCTTTGTGTGTTTTTTGTTTGCCACGATACGAGAAAAAAGAACGCGATTGACTCTAGAAGAATACCATGAGCACTCGGAGACAAATGTGTACTTTCTGAATGCGTTCATGATCCCTGCAACCAAAAATAGGCCCGGACGAATCGGGATCACCAGACGTTCGTTTTGACACTGAACACAACAGGCTTTTCTCACAGACGGCTGTAAATGCTCCAACATCTGCATTGGTGTGTATTAATACCCCCAGCCCACCCACCCCCACTACTGTAACAAACTGACTTTTGTTTAACAACCTCTGCAATGAAGAAGCCTTAAAGCGTTTCTGGACAAACGGCAACCCTCCAAATAAACCTCTGCAACCCATCTAGCCTGCTTGCATACACAGGGCCCACTCTGTGTGTGTGTTTGTGCACCACACGCATTCGTTATGTTCATGTTCACATATAGTTTCTGTCTGTGTGTGTGTGTGTGTGTTTGTGCAGCCTGAGGGTATTGAGCCTAATTATAACATTCTTCTGATTAATCGTGTCTGCTTACAGGCCTCGGAGAGGGGCGGGGCCACACGCTCTATAAATAAAGTCTAAGTCAATAACAACGTCAAGGATCACTCATAGTCTTGTCAGCTCTGTTTGCTAAGCCCCAATAATTCAGCCAATGAGAGGACACAGAGACACACGCGCCAGCAAACACACACACACACACACTGGAAAAGTACAAGCAGAGTGGTGCTGTAATCACCTGCGGCGCTCACAAACACTCCTGCGGATACACACTTACAGGCGTGCAGATGTGAACACACTGCATATACATTTGGACAAACACACACATACACACACACACACACACACACACACACACACACACACACACACACACTGTTTGCTTTCTTAATCAGTCCATACCATTAAAGATGAAGACAAATCACACCTGTGAAATTCCAAAGCTCAGACATTACTTTTATTAATGAACCCTCCCCGGCACTGAAAAGAGTATTATTTCTTTAACACGCCCCAGAGTGTAGTTAAATGGAACTATTTTAATGGCATTTCATACTGTCAGATAATGACAGATTTTTGGATTGTCGGACCCTCGTCTGGCAGCTCCACACACACGGCTGTATTCAAATAAATCCAAATTAAAGAAGCAGCCTTTCTTCTTAAGACGATATGTAAGATTCACCCCAAAAGATGGAAATAAAAAACATATATGTTCCAAAAACAAAAAACATAAGCCACTGGCATAGTCCACGTGTGCGTGTTAGTCTTACAAATGTGTTTTACTTTTTCTTTAACTTTTTTGTACACAAAATAGTATCGTCCCTCGGAGCTCCTTGATAACCGAGTAGCTCATGCCAAATAATACGATTCTGGATTTGGGATCTTTGTTGCAGGTCAGACCACTTCCTCTCCCCCCCCTCCACTTAAAATCTTGAAAATTAAAAAAATTGCAACATCTTGTTTGTCTCTTGGCTTTAAGTTCACACCTTGGCTCTTTGCTGCAATACAGTTACTCATCAAGGCGTTAAGTCACTAAACGTTCTGCAAAGTGTGAGGTGATGGTTTTAAAGACTCTCCCGCTGAGACAAATATGCTCCTGCTGTGCTCGTATAGACTTCTGAGTGAAATGAATGTAGTAAAGTGGAGGAAGTAAAAACATTTCCAACATTTCCAACGTAAAACCCCCCATAACACACACACGTGTAGCGTTGTATAAGCATGTGATCCAGTACCTTTAGACAGCCCCCTGGGTTAAAGAATTTGTTTTTTTCTTCGGTGTCTAACATGACCTCCAGATCACGCCAGCAGCTGCTTCTGTCATTCTCACCACGTTGAATGTGTGTTTGAACCCTTTCTCCGATCAACTACGTCTCTACCATGTGTGCATGCGGCTATTTGTTTGAGTGCACTCAGTAGATAACGTAAAAAGAATAGTTTGGAGAGAAACCCGTTGGCTCGGTGTTTGGCGTAGAACGTGTTTTTGGTTTGAATCGGATGACCAGCTGGCTGGTGTTTGCATGTTCTACCCGTGTCGGTGTGTTTGACCCAGATGTTCAGGTTTCCCTCTACTGACCAAAAACAGGAAAAATGGAAAAACAAGCTAGATGATTGTGAACGTGTCCGTCTCCATGTGGGTCCTAAACACAATGAGCAGTCAAAAAAACAAAGAATATGGATGAATACACTTTTGACAATACTTCTTATCTATGATGTATATAGTACACATCTTTTATTGCATTTGTTGAAGCAAAAAATGTGAATTTACATACGCAACCCATCATAGTTAAATGGTCAAAACATACAGAACCCAGTTAATACCCAATAACCATAAGTCCAGTATTTCTTGGCGTTTAGTGAGGTACCTTTATGATTATTGACCTTAGACTTCCTCCACTACAGATGTTTTCATGCACCAACCCATGTTTAGTTTTTTATATATTTCATTTTTTGCACTTTACCTTATTATCAACATACACTTCTGCATAACTTTGATATGTGTCACCCATCAAAACATCCCATCTTCTTCTTTCACAGTCGCAACTGTTCTGCACACAGGAGGTAACCAGGTGGAAGGAAGCGTTATTTCTTTTTTTTTCGGGGTGTCTCCTGCATACCCCCGGCCTGCCATGCAATCCCTGTACACACACTTAACCCCTGACACTCCCCGGCATTCACACAGTCTGTCATCACAGGTCCCTGGCTGCTGCTGACCTGAGCACTAACACATGCTGGGGACAACTTAACCTCTGGACCTCCAGACGGAAAAACACATCGACAGAGGAGAGGGAGGGCATCTGAGCAGGAGGAGGGGGGGGGGGGGGGGGGGGGGGGGGGGGGGGGGGGGGGG